GATCCAGGGGCAGCCACAGCTTCTCTGGGCAACCTGGGCCAGGGCCTCCCCACTCTCACAGGGAAGAATTTTCTCCCAATCTCCCATCTATCCCTGCCCTCTGGCAGTGGGAAGCCATTCCCTGTGTCCTGTCCCTCCATCCCTTGTCCCCAGTCCCTCTCCAGCTCTCCTGGAGCCCCTCTAGGCCCTGGAAGGGGCTCTCAGATCTCCCTGGAGTCTTCCCTTCTCCAGGCTGAACAATCCCAATTCTCTCAGCCTTAATGTATTGTGTTTTTAATGTTGGGAACTTGGTCCAAGGTGTTTGTTTCCATGGAGATTTACAATTCCTGTAATTTTAGGAAGAAGAACTTGAAAAGTAGCTAAAACACCAATAATAAGTGGTCTGTAATCCCACAGGCATTGTCCTGAAGTGAGGCATCCTCATAGGTATGGAGGGAATGAAAGTTTTGTTTCACATTCAGGACACCATCCTTTAAATATTCCCACTGTTTTCCATTTTTCTTGTAAAGGGAATAAGTTAAATCCAGTGAACCCTTTGTCCCATGTGTTTGTGCTGCACCAGGTCTCTATAAAAAGAATCTGCTCCCATGTGCAAGTGTTGTAGTCAGAACAGCTTAGCTTAAGTGAGCGTGGATTTGATGTGATCCCACTTGCTTACTTGGGAAAAAGGGCATTGTGCTGCTTTCCACTAGTGTGTGCTCCTTAATGTCATGGAATCATGGAGTATCCTGTGTTGGAAGGGACCCACAGGGATCACTGAAGTCCAGCTCCTGGAATATGTTGATATGGGACCATTTGATTCCCTACAGTGGCCTGGCTTCTGTCCTCTCTTCCAGCATTGCCTTTTACCTCTGGTAAAATAAAAAATAAACAGAAAATTGAAGGTTTAAATAAAAATGGGTAGAGAAAGTAAGAAAGATGAGTTTTCATGCTTGAAAACAGTCTGGTGGATCCTGGGAAGGAAAGAGGAGGATGAACACAGCTTTATTTGTCACCTGCATGTGGCTCTGCTCTGGAAACCAGCTGAGCACTGTGCTGTGTTCCTCTGCAGCCCAGCTGGGCTCTTCCTTCTCCCCTGGGAACGCTTCCCATGTCCATCCTGCAGTGCTTTGGGCTCCTTTGGTGGAATCCTTCCCATGGCAGAATTTGCTGGGCTGAGGGATCAACCCCAGGGCTTGGGGTCCTTCCTGGCAGCTGCTGGACAGAGGGGACATGAGCCACTTCTTGGAGTCACTCTGAGGAGCATGTGGATACAGAGGGTCCTTCTAGGCCCAGCTTGGCCTTTTCTGTCTGTAGGAATGTTTGTATAAGGTCTGTGACACATAAGTTTAAAGGTGCAGACCAGCATTCATCTCCCTGCTGTTGGCTGGAGCAAACGTAACGCTGTGGAAAAGCTCTGGAGAGCTGTTTTCCTTCTGGTGCTGGCTGAACTTGTGGTGTTTGTTGTTGCAGGTGGATCTGTCCCTGTCTGGGGATCCACTGGGAGTGTGGATCACTGCAGGGAGAGCTGCTGAGGCACATGGCAGATGTCTGCTGCTTCTCCTGTTTTCCCTGTCGTTTCTCTGCGCTGGCAAAGCACCCAGCGTGTGTGTGTTTGCTCTCTTGTTACCTCTCTCCTTCCTTCCTCCGGTGGAATTTGTCCTGAGGAGCAACCAGAGCCCTGTGTTGTGTCCCAGCACTCTGGGGTTGCAGTTGTTGGGGGGGGAGAGGAGGTGTTTGGAGGAGGGGAGCGTTGGATGCGGCTCCTACAGAAATGGATTCTGCTGAGGCTGAGGGCTAAAAATAACCCGTTCCCAGCCCTGTCCCTGTGACGGGAACTGCTGGACAAGAGCTCTCAGGCACTCAGGGACC